GCAGAGATCCTTGCGGGCACTGGTAGGTATGGCCACTTTCGCCCGAGGGTATGACGGTATTGAGCACAACATAGGAATAATCAAGTGCCAAGCTATGCAATGCTAGTCCCTGGGCATCTTGCTCCTGAGAGAATCCCTCATGTCCAACAGCATTCGAGCAAATACTGCCTAGCCGTCCGATGGCATCAATCATAACCACTTGGGGCGTGAATCGCTGGCACACAAGTGCCATGTCTGTCCAGAACGACATGTTTATATCCTCGCCTGTCCTGGAGTGTGGAGCGTGGGCAGCAGCAAGGGTGATGTCAATCGCGGTGGCGGTGATGCGCACCACCATGATGCGAGGCGTAGTCAACAGTGTCCTGACCTGATCCTTGCGCACAAAGAGGTTGGTCTTACCGTTCTGAGCATATGGTAAGGTTAAATTAACCCAGACTTCCACCCCCAGCCCCTCTTCCCCGTGCCCCGAGGAAAGCATCAGAAAACCATCAGCAACTCTGGTTCCCTTGGAGTTCCGTGCCTCCTGAACCGCAGTGATAAATGCTTTTTCAATTTGTAGTTGCATACGAAGGGCTTTGTTGCGAGCTCGCCGTTGACGTCCTTTTTGGCCCCAAACTTTTTACACAGAGGCAGAACGCATGTTATACTGCACCATGCGAAAGTCAACATTGAACTGACCCGAATGCCCAGGGGTGGGGATAGGAAGCTGCCCATCTAAATCTTCCCTGTGAACTCGACACGGGGGTATCAGGATGTCTTCGCCAGATAACAGTGGTGGATATGCTTCTCTAACTTCTGGATGCGCTGAGTCGAGCCATTCTCGTTCCCTGGCGACGTTAAAGGTGGAAGCATCGACGAGAGCACTGGTGAATGTGGTGGGTGTAGCCTCGCCCTTATGGGTACACCTCGCAATCCAGTCCACCAGGGTATTCCATGGGTGGCCCACGCGTCCCTTCACATGCGTCACAGTTTAGCGACCCTTGGGAAATGTGGGGTTACAACCGGAGGTCCTGATCCTGACTACTTCAGCCAGGGAGCAAGTTAATCGAGCCAGGCAATCCAGTCGTGGTGGCGAGGATGTCCCGTTCAAAGCAGCAACAACATTCAAGGAGTCGCTTTCCAGTGAAATCAGAATACTGGGGTCAAGGGATAACGAGTATATGAACGCCCAGTATGCTGCCACGAATTCGGTGTCGGTGCTGGTTAAGTCGGTTTTTCTGGCAGGAGTGCGGAAGCTTTCATTCACCAGTCCCGACCAATGTCCACCATATGTAAACCCTTCTGAGTCCTCAAAGACAGTTGCCATCCCCCAGGCTGCTGACTCATTGTCGCCATGCTTCAATGAGCCATCAGTGTACAAATGAACCCTATAAACATGCTATGTGGGTCGGTGGGGACAAAGATCCAATGCTAAGGCAGCCTCAGGTGGCAGTCTGGACGGTTCGGGTATCTCAAGACACAGCTGAGGCACTCCCCTATCTGAAACAATCCGTGAGATGGGGGTGTGCCTTGGAAACGGGCACCGCGTAAAACGCCGAGGGGTAGCGTGGCACTCTGTTCTCCTGTGGTCTCCAGCCGCCGTGGCTGGCTGCGCAGGGGATGCTATGGGACTCTGACACTGGCAGTCTGAACCGGAGGGGGAAAGATCCGAGGGAAGGACAATCTCAAAATCGTAATCCAGATCAAAGAAGAGTGCCCCCCCCCTGACTGTTCTGCTGGATTGGGAGCAATGTTACTGCGCGCAAACTCTCAGCGGTGCCCCTGCCTTGGCACAGCGCTGTCTCGTCCGCCAGCGAAAATAGCGGGCAGTGCATGCTTGGAGAGGTGAGAGGGGACATTGAGTGTCGATCATTATCTACCTTTCTTGAACCGACTAAGTATGCTGAAAAACATGCGCAAGATCGAGCACATGTCGTGCCTTGCTGCGACCATATGCAGGGTCCTTGGTGAGCCCCCCAACCCTCTCCCACGCTACCTCCCGACGAGAAGAGAAGGATCATGAGAGCCAGCACTAGGACCAGCGTCGCAGCTAAGGCATGTGAAGGGGGCCGTGTGGCCTTCTTGCAGGAGCAAAGCGGCTGCCTTCGACCAGCGTAGTTACCCACATCCTGGGAAGCTTTGCCCCGCTCCTGATCAAAGAAGCCCTCAGGTAGTTCACCCCTCCCAACGTTCCCTGTAGTATAGTAAAGTTCCCCCCGCTCCCTTGCGGCTGTACTAGGGCGAATGGTATTAAGCGATCCTGTTCGTCTGAGCCCCCACGCGGTGGGGTGGGCACAAATTAGGGGCCAAGCCCTGCGGCACAGTGTTTTCCCCCAACTGTTGGCCTCAATATCTAATGTATCTAGGAGCCCCAAGCTACAAAAATGGTGGACCTCTGTCAAGAAACCCCACTTGAGTTTGGCACTCCAGGGGCACTTCTCAAGCATGTAAGTAGAGCAAACGGTCGCCTGTGCTAAATGATCCCACGCAGGCGCAGAAAATTTCATCGCAAGTGACACTGCAGGTGCTGACAGGCTCCAGCAATAGCCCATATCTGCGGGAAAATTATCGACAGCCGAGAAACAGGTGACACAAGTTTTGGATGTCAGGTGTACCCCTGAGTGCCTCAAGAGAGCCCCTTTGAGAGATGGTCTGGAAGGAGAACGATGGGCAGGGGGGGAGAGATCTCTGGTACAGCATCCGAGTGAAAAAAGGCCATGGTCCCTGGGCCCCAAGTCACTCTTTTATTACTGGCTGGTCTGCAATCACTCACTGGAGACAACGTGCCTCCTTGCGGGGTGGGCTGCGCGTCTCTGGGTCGAAGTCCACGGTGACAGCCTCCACGAAAACCTCTGCCTGGCTCATCGGCGTCTCCACCTGGACTCCCATCTTGTCGGCCCACTGCTTGAACTCCTGCTTGCTCAACTTCTGGGGACCTCCCGCGGGCACTGAAGCAGAAGTCGCCGATGCCGTCGTCACTGAGTGAGTTGGGCCTTGAATAAGCGGATCCTCTGCCTGAGTGGCCATGGCTTGTGTCGGCTCGAGCAGAAAGGGATCGATCGTGGCAGGGGTCTGCTCGTCGCACGGCGTCGGTGTGTCCTCCTCGACTATGGCTGAGTGAGCTGGCCCCAATACCACAGGATCTGGTTGTGCCGGTGGAAAGGGCGATGTTGGCTCTAACCTCTGCGCCGGTGTGGGTGCCACTGGCGTCGGTGAAGTCGGCGGCCTTGTTGGCGGAGTCTTCGGTACTGGTAGCTCGAAGGCCCAGTCTGTCTGCTTGTTGACATTGGAATTTGGGGCCCCCGACGCTGCCTCATAGCAGCCGTGGAAGGGGGGCCCCGTTCGTAAACCCCATCGCTGATATATTGGCCATGCTTGGGCAGCGTGGTAACATATTGTCCCATGGATGTCGTCGCCTGCTGCAAATCAAATATACGCTGATTCTGCATCTTCTGCTCATTCATCATCATACTCATCATGTTGTACAACTGGGCCATATCATTGCTGGCGGTGGGCGCAGTGTGCGGCGGCGGTGGTGGTATGGGAAAAGAATTCAAGCCTTCTGCATTGGACCCAGATGCTGTGGATGCGACTCTGTCATTCGGCCTGGAATGGGATCTCTTGGCATCAAGTCCCGCCGCTTGGACTGGCAAAGCTCATGCTGGGTGCTGGCGCTGCTGAGCTGCTGATCCATTTCCATTCTCGACGCCCATGTCATCATCCTCTTCAGCTTCATCATATTCTTGATATTCTTCCAAGTTCTCCAGTTCCAATATGCTAGCTTTGACACGATCCAACTCATCTAGCTGATACTTTTCGTCATCAATGAGACTCTGAATTTTGTCCCTTATCACTTTCAACTTGCTTTGGATAGCATATTTGCTCTTCCTCAGTTGGTGGAGCTGGGTCGTGACAGACTCTGTGGCTGTCTGCATCAGTTTACACACTGAAATCTCCTCCATCGGCAATGACGTGTCGTGGCCTGCCGTGCGGGCCGCAATCACCAACTTTGCCAATCGTATCATTCGGGAGAAATTTTGTTTTCTGAACTTCTTCAGCTCCTTTATCTCACTTGGTGGTTCTTGAAATAATTCTTTGGTTATCATGTTTGACATCATCTCATATCTCGTGATCGGCACAACTTGTTGTAGTATCGCCTTGGCGGCCTTGAACTCATTGTTTTTTTGGTCCTTGGCATTCGTCGTGTCCTGCCTCGGCCTGCTGGGTGTACGCTGCCTGGGTCGCACACCTCCTCTCCCATCAGTTTCAAAGTGTGCCCCCTGAGGTTGCATGAGATACTGATTATGTCCATATGTCTTTCCGCATAGGCACCTCCAATGGTGTGGTTTGACGTATCTGCCACACGTGACACAATCCCATCTGACCCCTGGGCCCGCCGAGCGGGCAGACTGCTGTGCAGCTCTAGCAAGGGCCTGATCAACTTTGTTATACATATTGCTACTATGATGGGCACTCACAAGATGAGCAGCTCTCCTGAGCCGCAGCAATATTCTTGCGTTGGCCCGACCTGCTCGCGCTCTCCTGTGCCAAGCTGGTTCCTTAGTCGTCTTTGCGCAACTGAAAGGCTGAACTGTAGGACAAAATGTCGCGGCGCCAACAGAAGCAAATGACCCAATTGGAATGAAAGCACTGAGTAAAAGGTATCAAGTGGGTATGTCGGCGCACGTCTGGGGTCTGGCCAGGTGGTCTCACGAAGAAACGCTCTGGAGCTCCTCCAGAAGTCCTGTGCCAGAACCCTCTCCTCCTCCTCCTCCTCCTCCTCCTCCTCCTCCTCCTCCTCCTCCTACCATAGACCCGACGTTGCGAAGAAGGGCAACGTCGCCGAATAGTCACGATCGGAGCCCCGCACCCCATCTCGCTGCGTCATTTTTCAAGCCAGGTCGATATGTGAGGGTCCCAGGGCGCGAGAAAACGCGAAACTGCTCGTCGTGACAAGTTGCAGGGCCTCAAGCGCTGACGATTCTGACGTTCCTGCCAGGTGGCAAAAAAATACGTCAGAGGTCCGGGCTCTCCTCCCCCGCCTGGGAAGCGTGGGCGCCGCCCCCAACGGGGGCCTCCTCGCTTGCCGTGTGCCCAGCGAGTACACCGAGGCCGACCTGATCAAGGTGCCGGAGGCGTCCGAGAGGCAGGGTTCATTGCGGCCCCTCCGACTCGATTCGATTCGATTTCGATGGCTTTCGATTCCAATGCGATTCGACTTGGGATTCCGATCTGGATTCCGATTTCTCAGTGGAGGCCTTTTTTGGCTCCGCCGATTTGACTTCCCCCACCCGGGGATGGGGACCGTCAGGGGCAACGATGTGGAGGCGTAGGCACAGGGGGGGGAGCGCATTGGCCCCAAAGCGCTCACTGATCGCCAACGGGGGCCCGACAGCCCTAACCTGCCCAGGAACGTTCGGACTGATTACCGGAGGCCTGAAGCAAAGGTCGGGGAACAGACAATGACATAAACATGAGAGCTCGGAGGTCCGCGTGGATTTCTTGGATCGGCGCTGGAGCCCCATGGAGGCGCCTCCAGCGCCGCCCCTGGCGCGCGCCGCACGCCAGGGAGGGGGTCCAGCGCCGATCCAAGAAATCCGCGCGGACCTCCGAGCGTTTATGTTTAGATCATTGCTTGTTCCCGTAAAAGGAGTCCTTATGGCAATACGTTCTGGCTGTTTTGACAGTTTTCGGCTTCCGGGGGCCCTCCCCAGGCCATGGTGCCGTCAAAAGACGACGTAGGATGAAAACCTGGTCTTGGGGGAAGGCCCTGGGGTCCAGGACCCGTTTCCATCAGAACTCGGTTTCCTCATGTGGGCGAGGATCTCATGGCCAAGGCAATGAAATCTCTCAGAACGTCCCCACTCATGCGCACACTTGCCTCGGGCCATGATACGACTCCCCACACCCCCCTCTTGGTCCCCCTCTTCAGCTCACCTGAAAGGTGTATAAGCGGAATTGTGGCCTCGTCAACGCTTTCCAGAATGAGCTGGATAAGCGTCCACTTTGGGCTGGTCACGGAAGCAGCAGCAGCGAGAGCGTGCTCAAATGTTTGACAGCAGAGTTGAAGATGAATGCCGCTGAAAACTTGGCGGACTTCCGCGCAGCGGCAAATTTGGCAGTCGAGGCGTTCGCAAAGACCGCCAGGGGAGAGAACCACTGCTGCAACCTGCTCAGCCCGCCTTTCTGCACGAAGGATCGCGCATCGACGTCCACTTGGGCCATGCTCGCCCCTCTGGCCCTAACCGCCGCCCTCGTCTTAGGAGTTTCGTTATATCAGTGGTGTGAGAGCCGACCTTGCCGCTGCTGCAGAAGGAGAACGGACGATGACACGCCGACGAGCCCGCCAGAGAGCGTCCCCGATGCCGCCATTCCTGACTTGAAAAAGGGATTGATGAAAGCATGGACGGAGCAGCATTGCCTGCAGTATATGCCGAACGCAGATGCGTTCGCATCTGTCACTGCGTGGATGTTCGATCACTTCACGAGCCGCTTCGGGTTCCAGGAGGACAACTCCAAGAACCAGCACGAAAACTTTCTATCCCTGCTGCGCTCGCAGGTTGCCATGGTGGCCGACGAGGCAATGGAAGCGAGTAATAAATGGGGGGCAGAGTTCTCGGAGGAAAGAGAGCAAGACTTCTTGAAGCAGGCAGTGAACGATCTGCACGAGCAGCTGATGGACGGCTTTCTGAGGTGGGAAAAGGTTTTCAGCGAGTACACCCAGGCTGGCATGAAGCTTCGGCTGGACAGCAGCGGGCGACGACGGTCGCCCGCTTCTGCAAAGATCGCCGACCGTGCCCTAAAGTCCCTCAAAGAGCAGGAGAGGATCAAAGAGCAAGAGAGGATCATCATCGCCGCCGATGGGACAGCGGAGAAGTTGGCAGAGATGGTCGCCTTCCTGCTAGTGTGGGGCGAGGCCGGGAACTTGCGCTTCATGCCAGAGGTCCTCTATTTCGTCACCGACCTTGCGCTCGCGTCCAGAGATGCGTACCGCCTCGCGGCAGTCACGCCCGTTGACAGACCTCAAGTACGCCTAGGCACAGAGGAGTCTTGGAAGAAGTTGGGGGAGCCCTGAAGCGTTTCGCGAGTCTCTGCCTCCAGGGGCCCCCTGAGATCTGGTCGTTGTACTTTTTTGCACAGCGGGCGCTTTCACCCGGAGTGGGGCCCCGAGACCATCACAGAAATATGCAGCAGAAAAGTGGGGTCCTGGGCTCGAGACGCGATTTTTCGCGACGTTGCAATTTTTCCGCGGCGTCGGATCTTAGAGTGAGGAGGGCCCCGGGATTGTCGAGAAGCGGCTCAGAGGAAAATGATGATGCAGCGAGGCCCTGGGGTCTCCAGGACCTGTTTCCCTCAGGACCTCCTTTGGTCCGTGGCGGTCAGCTCGCTTCTGTTGGCGGGCGACAGAGAATGTCTGGCTCTTGGGCGACGCGGCTGGTACATGCCACCGCGTCGCGCGCGAAGCCTCCTTCCCCGCCTGGTCTCGTTCCTCACTGTCCTCCTGGTTTCACGATTTCACGGCTGTGTCTGAAGGCCAAACGGGGCTCGGCGACAGACAGAAATGTGGAGGGGGGTAAATAAGGAAGCACCATGGAGAAGAAGGAAAGCCGAGAGGAGGGAGAAAGAGGGGGAAGGAGGAGAATGGTGTTTCCGAAGTCCCCAGAGAGGCGGCTTGTCCGCGGCTCCCGCCATGGGCCTGCCCACACGCGGAGCTGGCGCCTCGCCCAGCCGCACTGTCCGTGGGGTGACTTCGCAACCCTCCACCAGCCCCCCCCCCCCTATCCCCCGCCCTCCCCTCGAGAACTCTGCAGGCTATGACGGGGAAACCTGCTCAGGCATTCCGCTTCAGGAGGCACAGAGAGCTTCGCTGCTCAGGGGGTTGGGAGGCTGGTGGCTGAAAGTGCGCGGCCCTGAGCCCGCTCAACTTTGGACGCCCCTGGGACGCCTCGGGCAGAGCAGATATGAAGGATGCTGGTCGTTCCCTGTGTGGCTAATCAGCAAGCCGTGGGAAAATTGGCAACATCGTCGTAACCCTTTCCCCCCCTCCCCTTCCCACACCTTCCCTTACAAAAGCCTACTAGTGCGGCTAGCTGGACGGAGCGGGGATGGGTGGGGGGCACCCTACACGCCAGGGCGTAGACGTAGAACTCATTCACGGGAAGGTCCTACCAGCCAGGCTGCTGACGAAGAAGTGCGACAGCTCCTGCAATGACGACCTGAAGGCTGTCCTCCAGCGAGACCATGAATGGGTCCAGGGTGTCCTGTGCTGATGGGACCCGACTCTGGAGACCTTGAGCAGGTATTCGATGGTCGGGAGGGAAGTCATGATCTGCACCTGGCCAATGGTCACGGCGTCCTTCTTGGGAGCCTCTGTCTTGGATCCAATGGCTCGCGTTTCCTGCAGCTTCTCCTCCTGCAGGGCATTGCACGCGGTGGACCCGTAGTTCTCGAGGCCGTTATGCGCCCCAACCTCTGGGACAACAGTGGCCGGGGCGGTACCCTCCAGCAACGTCGACTTCTCCTCAAACTCCGTATGGGTGGAAGTGTGCTGGGAGGCACCAGTGTCGTAACGATCTGTTGTCACCACATCCCCAGTGAGTGGCTCTTCAGTGGCCCTGACGTTGAGGAAGGTGCCGAAGCCTGCGGGGTCCACCTGAACACCCACTGACAATGTCGTTATTCTTCTGCTTGAGGTTTTCACACTCGGCTGAATCCGTAGCCTTCGCGCCAGCGGTGGCGACAACACTCATAAGCTCGTGCTTGGGAAACTCAAGATCCATCTGCAGCTTCTGGATCGAGCCCTGCAACTCCATAGGCTGGCTGAGCACGTCCGCCCTAAGAGTCAGCAGCATGTCCTTGATGCCTGCCAAACGATCCTGAGAGAGTTTCCTTGCGCCCTGCACCTCACTCGAACGGTTGGAGCTGAGTGCGCCCTCATCGTTCTCCGAGTCGCCGAGGAAGCGCTCCCAAACCGTGCTCGAAGGTGCTGCCTAGTTGCCCGCCTCGCTAGGGAGCCCAACCTTGGTGTCCGCAGGCTTGCTGACGACCGACGGCTTCTCGAGCGCCTTCTGCACCCGTTGACGGATGCTGGCGGGAGGATGCGCCAACGAACGCCTGCCAGCCCTCCACTGAGCATACTCCTTGGCGAGCTCCTCCTCGCCTCGCAGGACGAGCCCAACTCTGACGTCTTCCGTCTGTGCTCGCCGCTGGAGGCCCAACTGCGCGGGGGCCTCCTGGAGCACTGCCTGGAACTCGCTCAAGTGCTGCGCGCCCGTGAGCGACTCGGCTTCTGGCCCGCTGGCCAGCTTAAGCATCAGGCTCGCCGCCTCGTCCACGGAGCGAAGGTGGGCTAGAGACGAACCATGCCGGACCGTGATGCCCGCCTTCGGCATCAGGTGAAGAAACCCTGAGAGACAGCAGGGCGGCCGTGAACACAAATCCGATTGCAGTGTCTGCAAAAAAGTCTTGAGCCCAAATGGCTACGGAGCGCATTGTCCTCCTGGTCCCCGTCCTCGTGCTCCTCCTCGTCCTCATCGTGCCGTTCTCGTCCTCCGCCCATCAACGTCCCTCTTCCTCCTTGACCTCCTCAAATTCCTCGTCCTTCTCCTCGTTCCCCCGCCCTCGCTCCTCATCGTACCTCCTCACCCTCCTTCTTTCCCGCTTCCTCCTTGGACTCTCATGTGGGGCCTTTTAGTGGGGCCGCCTGGGAGGTTTCTTGGGGCCCTCCTGGGCCAACTTGGAAGCCCCCACTTGGCTGCCTTGGGGTCACTTTGCGCCTTTGTCGGTGGAGCTAGGGCATGCAGCGATGACTCCCTCCATGGGCGGTTGCGGGAGGCCGCCTTGGCGCCATTCGGCGACTTTGTTTGGGTTGTTTTGGGCCGCTCCAGAGGCCCTCTTTGGCTGTCTCGGGGCCTGCATGGTTCAGACCCTCCTCGGCCGTCTCGGGAGGCGCTTGGGCCGTCTTGCGGCCATTTGCAGTTCTCTTGAGTCCTGGTGCCATGGACGAAAAGACAGGGAAACATCAAACAGCGAAGAATCAAAGCATTCTCTGTCATCTTGGCCACCCATTGGATATTACTGGGGCCTTTCTCGGGGCCTCTCGAGCGTCTCTTGGGACCGCTTCGGACCAGTTGAACCTGTCTCGGAAGCATCGTAGGTCATCGGGGTGGCCTCCTCAGAGGCATTTGAGGGACTTCTTCGCGCACCTCCGGGCCGCCATGGACTTGTTTTGAAAATGCTTGCTCGCAAGAATCGCCCCACCCTCAGAAGAGGTTGGGGAGGGGCAGATGTCTCTCATGCCCGCACCCAACGGGTCGGCGAGTTCAGACAGCCGAGTCCCTGGCTGGTTTCTGGCGAAGATTGTGCGGCCGATCTACAACGTGATTTTCGATGAGCACTACTCGGGATTGGCCGAGAACCCCGAGAACGGGACGGACAGAGCGGAATTGCGGGAGAGTTGCAGGCGTTATTTGCCGGACAACGTCGCCAACTACGACGATTGGAACGAGTTGTTTTGCGACCCCGCCAGGTTGGTCCAGCAGCTTCAGGACACCAACGCTGTGCCACTCTTCCGTGACGTCCACGGCAGCAGGTTCAAGAGGCTCCCAGACGTCGATTGGAAGCTCTCGCTCTCCGCGTCGGAGACGAAGACGCACAGGGAGCTCCACTCGATGGCGGGCGTCTTCGCCACGACGCACCGCATCTTCCTGCTGCACCTCGTCATGTTCTCCGTCAGCATGTGCATCTCGGGGAGCGCCAGGGGAGGCCACCAGCGGGGTGCCGCCACCCCGCCTCGGCGCCACCAGGATGGGCCTGTCTTCCACCACCACCACCACAAGCTGGAGGGGGGAAGGAAGTGGACGAGGAGGAGGAGGAGGAGGAGGAGGAACGAGGAGGACGAAGAGGAGGAGGAGGAGGAGGAGGAGGAGGAGGAGGACCCCCTCCCCCTCCGACTTGCGGTGGTGGCGGAAAACAGGCCGGCCCATCACATCAGATTTGCAATCCTGCGGCGTGTGCATCGGCCACGCCAGGGCGGCGCGCACGCTCGGAGAGCCTACAGCACGAGCTGCGCGGCGGGCGGTGCCTGGCCACACCGGTCTGGAAACGCGACACTGCACGATGTGCTCCTGTGTGTTGGGATCGGTCGTGCGTCCCCAGCAGAGGCACATGGCAGTAGCATGTCCTAACGCGTCCCGTCCCCTTGGAGATCGTAGCATGGAGGGGGGCCCGCACGTACAATGAAGAGTTCTGCACTCCCCGGTGCATTGCTGCTGCCAGTCTCGACTGAGCTTGGCGGCATCGGGTACCCGCATCGCGGAGGAGGCGGGAGGAGGAGGAAGAGGATGAGGATGAGGATGAGGAGGAGGAGGAGGAGGAGGAGGAGGAGGAGGAGGAGGGAGGAGGAGGAGGAGGGAGGAGGAGGAGGGAGGAGGAGGAGGAGGCGGAGGAAGAGGAGGAAGGAGGAGAAGGAGGAGCTAGCTCGCCCCGTCCACCTGCGGAATTCACAAACGAATGTGCACTCTCGTGCCGTGTCGGCGCACGGCCTCTGTGCCGACGCGGTCAAGGATCGAGGACGCGGGAGGATCGAGGATGGGGGATCGAGGATCGAGGAGGTTTGGATCGAGGATCGAGAATCGAGGATTGAGGATCGAGGATCGAGGATCGAGGACGCGGGAGGATCGAGGATTCAGGATCGAGGAGGTTTGGAACGCTTCTGGTTGTCTTTGTTCGAGCCTTTTGGGGGTGCTCTGCGGCGCGTCCAGCGGGACCGGACTCTACGAGGAGCTGGCGACACCCCCTGGGGCGACCGACCCCCGCTCTGCCCGGGCATCGCCGGAGAGATCACGCCCGAGCTGACGCACAGCCACGGGGAGCAAACAGTGACTTACGGTCAAGACGTTGGAATAAGGACCGCTTTGGTCTCAGGAGGGGCTTGGGTTTGGGGGCCGCTCCTCAAATCTACGTCGCGGAACCTGTTTGTTGCTTGGGCTCGCGGTGGCTAGAAAAGGCCCTTCGTTCCGCAGTATGCGATCATTATGGTAACACGCTGGTTGTACTTTCGGAGGTCCGCGCGAATTTCTCGAATCGTCGCTGGAGCCCTCTGGCGGCGCCTCCAGCGCCGCCCTGGCGCGCTCCGCGCGCTGGGGAGGGGGGCCCAGCGCCGACCCAAGAAATCCGCGCCGACCTCCAAAAAAGCTTAGGCTTGTTTCATCGTTTGTTCCCCGACAGCCGCGGGAAGCTCGGCGGCGACGGCACCTTCGAGCGCTTCGCCGTCGTCGGCCTGCTGGTGCCCCTCCACGCGGTCGCCCGAGCGTGCGCCCTGAGGCGCGTCGCGGGCCCTGCGCTTCGCCGCGAGTACGGCCTGTGCTCGGCTGGCTGCTGCGGCGGAGGACTCGCGCGGGTGCCCCGACGAAGTAGCACACGATGGTTCTACGACTGCCGACTGTCAAGCGAAAGCGGGGTGGAATACGGGTATATCTATATCTGTATATACGGATGTGCACAGTCGGACCGAAGTATAGGATCGAGGTCGGTTCGGGGAGGGTGCCCCAGTGTTCTTCGTGAGCGTTGGATGCTCTTGCGCATCCTGGGGATGGTACCCTTGGATGGTCTGTTTGCTTTGGCCGACGGAGGGTCTCATGTTCTTGAGGGGTGCTCGTCTGGCCTAGGTCCGACTGTACACAGAAACATGTCATGTACCACAAATACGCTACTTATGTATGACTACGCGTTGTCAGTACAATCAACCGAGTCCTGCTGCAGGACTTCTGAGGCAGCCGCCTTTCGTTGTCTTCCTTGCGCCAGTGGCCACCTTCGGCCTGCTGAAGATGGACAGCCCCGATGCGGCTCCCTGGGTTGGTGCGCTGGCCCCCATCCTCCACGTTGCTGTCTCTGCCTTCGGCCTCGTCCACCTGCTCTTGATGCCCTCAAGGACCTACGAGCGGTTTCCGTTTGAGAAGCTGACCAGCGTGCAGCCTTGCAAGAAGTTCTTGCGTTACGTCCTCTGGGTTTGCATCTTCAGTGTCAAGTTTGCGCTGGGGCTTTGGGTCATCAGGACGGTCAGCCACACAATAGAAGAGCTCCAGATCAGCCGCCCAGGGCACGAGACTTTTGACGAGATGACGCAGCTGTACTTCAGCGCGAGGTGGTTCGACGACGTGTTGCTATGGATGGCATTGTGGGGCGCGACCTTCACGTTGTACTTCGTGGACACCCAGTATCCATTTGCTTTGCGCATATCCGCGCACCCTTTTCCAAAGAGCCTGGGAAGCAATATTGGCGTAGCTAACAATGTTTACACACCAGAGAAACCCGAAACAGTTAATGTATGTATGTTTCGTAGGTGCCTCGATCGGCCTTCCTCCCGCCCTAGTCGAGTTCGAATATACGTTGTAGCCCGTTTATTACAGGTCCTTTGTTTCTCTCTCTCTCTCTCTCTTTCTCTTTGTTTTCTTCATACATATATATATATGTATGTATGTATATGTATATACATATTCAATCATGTAAATATGTGTGTATGCACACATCCCTCTATTACTTCTCCCCCGTGCATCTGTGTATACATAAATGCACTTTCTCTTTATCTCTATGTCCCTCTCTCTCTCTCTCTCTACTCCGTCTCTCTCATTCTTTATGTTTCCCGGAAAGGGCGTGGGCCCAGGGATTTCTTGTAGCCGTTTACCTCCAGAATCAATTTGAGGTGGGCCAGCGATTTTTGTTTTAGATGAATATCGTGGAAAGGGTGGGCCGGCGAATTGAAATTTGAGGATGTCCTGTGCGAAACGATTGCTTTGCCGAACAGATAGTCAGGATGTCTCGAGCGAAACGATTGCTTTGTGTTCTAGATTGTCCTCTAGGCCGGCGCAGCACAGCACAGCCCTCGGCACGGTACATCAAGAGCGATACATTCAGCATTGCAACTTGGCACGTTCTTTGGCACGTTCCGTGGCGCGTCCCATGGCGAGTCCTCCTGGCACGTCGCGCGGCGCGTCCTGTGGCACGTCTCGTGGCACGTCCATTGGCACGTTCCGTAGCGCAACCCCTTGGCACGTCCTGCGGTGCGCCCCCATGGCACATCCCCTGGCACGTCGCCTGGCGCGTCCCTTGGGACGTTCCGCGGCGCGTCCTCCTGGCATGCCCCCCTGTCAATTAGCTCTGGGGCAGCTACGATGTGCTCAGGCAGCTCGAGCTTAAGATCCAGATCAGTTCGGTCAGGGCTCGGATGCAAAGGAGGACTTTATCCACAACGCTATAGAGCACAATCGCGGCATGGCACATCGCAATTCAGCACGGCGCAGCACAGCACAGCCCTCGGCACAGTACAACAAGATCGATACCTTCAGCATTGCATTTACCCGTCGCCCAATCAGGTGTCTTTGAAACGTTGCCGTGTCTTACATGTCTACATTCCTTTCCGGGTTCGTGGGTCGATCATGTCTGTATGTTTCATAGTTGTTTGGTTAGTTATCTCTTCCTCTCTTCCTCTCTCTCTATCTCTCTCTCTCTCTTTTTCTCTATCTTTCTCTCTCTCTTTCTCTCTTTCTCTCTATCTTTCTGTTTACGGACATTATATAGTATATAGTACATATATACATATATCGGAGCTTGGGGGGTGCGATCACAGTGAAACGGAGACCCCCACTGGGAAATTGGTTTTGGTTTCTTGTTCGTGTCGTGCGTGCGGGTGAAGCGAAGATGCGCGGGCGGGCGAGTTGAATGAACCCGCCGTTGCCAGGTCGAAGCCGAGCCAAACGTTGCTATCCCCCAGGTTGGCCGGCAGCGGCCGTGTGGTGTCCCGGTGGTGCCCCGATGGAGTCCGATGGTGTCCCGTTGTGTCCCGTGGTGTCCCGTGGCGCGGGGGTGTCCCGTGTTATTCTAGATGATATGCTACATTATGCTAGCGGTAGTGCGATCGTTAGTGAGATCCATTGAGTGAGATCGAAAGTGGGACATATTGTGAGATAGGTAGTGAGATCGATGGTGAGATTGGTAGTGAGGTCGATTGAGCGAGATCGATAGTGAGATTCGCAGTGAGGTCGATGATGGGACCGATAGCAAGATCGATAGGGTGAGGTCGATATTGAGATCGAACGTGTGCACGATCGCGAGATCGATCATGTGATCGATAATGGGACCGATACTGAAATCAATAGTGAGATTGATGGTGATATTGGTAGTGAGATCGATGGTGCGATCGATGGTGATATCGGTAGTAGCATCGATAGTGGCATCGATATTGGCATCGATGGTGAGGTCGATAGGATCCTGATATAGATAGCGAGAGCGATAGCGACATCAATAATGTGATCAATAGTGAAATCGATAGTGAGATCGATAGTGAGATCGATAGTGAGATCGGTAGTGAGATCGGTAGTGAGATCAATTGGGTGAGGCGGCTGGTGAGATCGATCGTGAGATCGATAGTGAGGTCGATAGTGGGATCGGTAGTGAGATCCGTAGTGAGATCAATTAGGTGAGATGGATGGTGAGATCGATCGTGAGATCGATAGCGAGATCGACCGGGAACCCAGGAACCAGAAATTGGAACCGCGGAAATCCCGCCGCCCACCGAGATCGGCCCAGAACCAGCAACCGGGATTTTGGGAACCGGGAAACGGGAACTTCGAAACCCGGCCGCCTTCAAAATCGGCCAGCAATTTCCGCCAAGTCTTTCAATTTCCGCTGGGACCCCTTCAGTGCAAGCACCGACAAGGGAACCTGTGATGGTACAAGGAATGGTAATAAGGTGAAGCTACGGGGCGAGCATACACGAGTCGCGTCAGAGCGAAGTTGCGGGCTATTTTCTCATCGTGTGCACGATCGTTGGCGTCTTCACAACTCTGATGCACAGGCTCGAGGCCAAGTTGGACGTCCGTGGACGCGGGCGGTGCTGCGATTGCTGCGATCGTGGCGTCTCCAATCTGAAGCGACGGTTCCGGGAGAAGGTGCTGTGGTATCTGCCCGAGAGCGAGGAGAGCGAGCCGAGCGGAATCTGGAATGACATTAAGGGCTTCATGGTGAGGGATCACAAGATCGACAAAGAGGAACCGAAGAAGAAAAAAACACATAGACATAAACTTTTGGCGCTCCGCGCAGATTTCTTGGCCCCCGGCGGCGCCTCTGGCGCCGCCCCTGGCGCGCTCCGCGCGCCAGGGAGGGGAGTCCAGCGCGAATCCAAGAAATCCGCGCGGAGCGCCAAAAGTTTATGTTTATGTGTGTTTCTTCTCTTTCTCAGGAACCAATCCCGCCCCTACCCTCCGGACGATGCTCGGTTGTCTGCTGCGGCGCGAAGAGCCACCTGCCCACGAACGCCGACGCGCAGTGGCGCGTGATGGCCCTGGCACGCGGGCTGCGGCTGCCGATGCCGCGGCCGTATCGTGCGCCCTACATCCCGGGCATCACGGTGCTCGTCCCGCACTTCAAGGAGGACATCTACACTCAGACGAAGGGCGACGAACACAGGCAAGATCTGAGCAAGTGGCTCCAGTATCGGTACAAGGACGAGTTTGGCTTTTACGGAGGCGACGCAGGTTATCAGAATACGAATGCATATCGGGATTGGATGGCCTTTCGGCAGCAGACGCTCTTCCGGACCATCGAGGGCATGTGTTTGTACCAAGAAGCGATCCGTAAGCATTTCGAGTTGCAGGGGATACGTGATTGCAGGATCGCGCAAAACCCAGAATTGTGGAGCAAGGACGTGTTCACTTGCTTGGTCACAATGCAGCTTTACGGGTACAGTCAGGAAGCCCGTCAATACGATTTACGCCACATTCACGAGTTGCTTCTGAAGCATGGCAGCTGCCTCAAGGTCGCATATATCCACTATGAATCCAAGGGGGCTGGTTGTCCAAAGCCAGGACGTCGATACTACAGTTGTTTGATCGACAACAGCTGTTTGAATGGCCAGGATATGAAGAGCCCAAAATTTAAGGTCGAGCTACCGGGGTACCCTATACTAGGAGACGGTAAGGGGGACAACCAGAACCATGCCATCCCTTTCACGCGCGGTCACTATTTGCAAACCATCGACGCTAACCAAGGGGCGTATTTCGAGCAGCTGATGTTGCTGCCATGTGCGCTGGGGGAGTTCCGCCGCAAGAGCAAAGCAGACCGCGATGCCGGCAAGAAGATCTTGGGGTTCCCAGAGCACCTTACCAGTGACATCGGCTCCGTGGGCGATTTCGCGGCATCGGCCGAGATGGCGTTCGGCACCATCCTGCAGCGCGCCTATGTTGTGATGGGTGGCCGCATGCACTATGGGCATCCCGACATCATGAACAGGCTGTACATGATGCAGCAGGGAGGCTCGAGAAGGAAAAACCTGCATAAACACATGTTGGTCTGAGGTCCGCGCAGATTTCTTGGATCTGCGCTGGAACACCCTGACAGTGCCCCGGGAGCGACCCTTGTCGCGCTGCGCGCGCCATAGAGGGCATTCTGGGACAGATGCCAGAAATTCGCGCGGATGTCCGAAAGTTTTTGCTCACGCCGTGTTTTCCTTGCCTTGAGGCGTGTCAAAAGCGACGAAGACGCTGAACCTCTCAGAAGACATATTCGCGGGCATGGACTTCACTCTCCGCGGGCACGGCCGGCAGATCAAGCATTGCGAGTACATGGCCGTCGTCAAGGGCCGGGACATGGGATTCCGCGCCGTGCTACAGTTCTTCTCCAAGCTGGCCTCGGGCACCGGCGAGCAGAGGAGGAGGAGGTACCGATGCCGCTGCTCGCCCTGGAGAGCTCTCTCGTCGCCACGGCTGGATTATCCTCGAAATTCTGGTCGTAACGCACCCCAGGAGAGGGCAGGGAAGTAGCGTTAAGTCGGGCGTGTCCCTCTACAGGGGAATATTCAAAAATTGACATAAAATAGTCAGGGGACGATGTTTCGACTATTCTTGGCAATTTTGGTGTATTCTTTGGATATTTCCAACTTTTCGCCCAAAATCCCCTTGTATAGGAGGACAGGCCCGACTTAAAAGTAGCGGTATCGGTATCGCTGGGTTCCCCCAGGCGAGCAGCTCTTGACGCGCCAGACGTTCCGCCTGGAGCAGGTGCTGGAGCTGCCGGAAGCCCTCTGCTTCTACTACGCGCACGGAGGCTACTACCTCATTCAGTTCGTAATATCGTGGTCCATGCCTCTGACGATCTTCGTCTGGCTGCTCGTGCTCGTGTCAGGCTGCGAAGAGGGCGACGTGTGCGAGAGGTCCAGCTTCGGCCACGACGCTCTTCTCGAGAGTACCGGCGTCAGGTCAACGCAGGAGGCCATAGTCCCCATGTTGTCGGTGATGTGCTCCCCGGTTGTTATATTTTTCCTTCTGGTGTCGTCCTTGCCGTGGTTTGCCGAGATGTCGATGCAGCGTGGCGCCTGCTTCGCGCTGGGGAAGTTGCTTAAGAGCTACCTCACGCTTTCACCGCTCCTGTTCGTTTTCCAGTCCAAGTGCATCGGCCACTACATCGTGAACGAGTTCCGCTACGGGGGCGCGACGTACGTCGCAACGGGGCGCGGGCTCCCCACAGAACGCATGCCCTTCATGCGGGTTGGAACAAATGGGGAAGGGAAGCCCCGGAAGTACGAAGGCTTGTACAAGGATTACGCTGTCATCGCTCACCACGACGGGGCCATGCTTCTAGTCGGGCTCATACTCGTTTGGCTCGCAGGGGGCAACCCAGGAGCTTCCCTTGCGTTGGTCAGCATATTCTTCTGCAGTGGTCTGGTCATCGTTTCGTGGCTATGGGCTCCCTATGTCTTCAACCCATATCAGTTCAAGCTCGAGGACACCAAGGAGGATTGGCAGGTCCTGAAAAAGTTCTTCCGTGCTGACGGTGGTATCGAGTGGCTTGAATGGTATTGGACGGAACGGGTGAAGACTGGCCAACGGCTCTTCAACGTTATCTGGGACATCGGTTTCGTTATGTTTGCGATCTCCATCGCTGGATGGTACATGGCAATTACAGTCAAGGTGAGCATGCTAAATTCACTCTTCTCTGACAGGTTAGAGTTCATGTACGTGCTCGCCTTGATCCCGCCTGTTGTCCTCTCCTTCGCCTGCTGCACCGTCGCGACCGTCGTCCACTTGTGCCGAGCTTGTGTCAAACCCCCTGCCACCTCGGAAGCTCAGACCAGCTTGCTGAGTAAGTGGCCCAAACCAGAGTACATCACGGAGCCTGCCATGGTGAGCAGCGGCTTTCTCAGTGACGTCCCGCTGCATGTCCTCTCGGTGGGCGTGGTGTCATCAACCTGCCTCGAGTCGTTCTTCTCGCTCATCCATCTTGCAGGCTGGTGGAGGGCGCTGCTGGCGGGGGTGGTGCTCAAGCTGACGCTGCTCTCTGCCATGACCCTGATCGGAGAGGGCACGCTGCGCTCCCCGTTCTGCCGAAAGTGGCCGCCGGTGCTCCTCATCGCGCTTGAGGCGTGGGTGTGCGCACACCGCATGGCGAAGGACGCCCTGACGTCCTTGATCATCATGCCCGTGCTGTTCTTGTTCGCGAAACTCGACGGGCTCAACAGGTCATGCAACCCGAGCGGCCGCTATAACCTGCACCACTGGTTCCTCTACCGCGCCCCAGGCAATGACCTCGATAGACTCAGAAGTAGGCCATTGCCGCAATGACCTCGAGAGACCCAGGTCCGCGCCCACTACGCCTAGGACGTCTTTAGCTTCTAGATATGGAAGGCTGCGCCCTCTGCCGCTTGCACAGCTTTGCGGCCTACACTGCTGGCCATCTTGCTGTCTCTCGGAGGCATGCCGAGGTCTGGGACAATCGTGTGGCGCCTGGGCTCCATCTCGGGGGCCTCTTGGGGCCATCCTGGGCGCGTACTGGGCCATCCTGTGCGGTTTGGCCGGCATCTTGGGGGGCATTGGGGGCCACATAGACGTTGTTTTGGGAATCTCGGGGGGTCTGGGGGCCGTCTTGGAGCGATAGTGGGACAGCCTGGCAAGAGAAACATGGGACATTCGAAAAAGCTTTGACATGGTGTTTTCAGGTGCTGAATTCTTTCTGTGGCATCTTGGAGCTCATGTTGACAAGATTAGAATATATTAGGGCCATGTTGCGCGATGCGGAGGTGAGGATAAGATTCTGCGTTGCATGATATTCGACCCCGAACAGAACCTCTGGGTCGGTTTTGCAGAAAGCCGTAGCGATCGCAATGAGCACAGACTTGGCGAAGGTGTTTGTCAAGGAGTGGCATGCCCCTTCCCAGCCTTCCCCTCCCTCTCTGCCATGTCGCTCATCACTAACAATCTAGCGACAGGGAGTTGTACATTTAGGTCCACAACATGGGCAGTCATGCTTTTCTGGTTGGGGGCCAGTTGATTGGTGATGCGCTTGACTCTCTCAGTGGCGTCTTGTGGTCCGTGTGGGCGACCGAAGGAAACGTTGTCGATTGCGCGGGCATTGGCACGTAAACTCCCCGTGTAAGGTCGCGCATAAGCGCCCTATTTCTCCACGCGGTGTGCCACGCTCGGGGCCCGCTCAAGCCACTGCATGAGGTCGCGGTGGTCTCGTGCGTAAGACCCGTGTCTTTTCGTTGCTCACGTCTGGCAAGCTTAGAGGCATCTCGGGGCCACCCGGCGCGAGGCGGAGGCGAAGGTAAGTTCCTGCTCCTGTGTCGGCCGACTCCGCCTTGGTCGGAGCAGGCCGGCCAGCTAGCGCCCGGCCGGGCCGCTTCGCCACAGAGAGGCCGGCGGACCCCCCCCCGGGAAAAGCATCAGGAAGTTGGCAGCGCACGACTCTCAAGAAGTGGCGAAGCGTCTTGGCTCGCCTATAGCCCTACCAAACAATTTTCTAAGAACCGAATGTGGTTTCAACGAAATATTCTTAGAACATTTCTGGTTGAGATTGTTTTGTTTTAACACATCGGGTTTATGTTCTAAGAACATTGTTTTTGTTCTTAGAACATCTTTGGTTTCTACGAACATTTCGCGGTAGGACTATAGGAATGCTGGGACGGTCGGTCCCTGCTCTAACGACGGAGCCGTCTTGGGCCGGGATCTAGGCCGGAGGAGTGGGTCTGGCGCAGGGGGGGTCGGCGGCAAATGGCGCCATCCCGGGCCTCCCAGGTGGGGTCCGATTAGATGGGGTCGGAGGATGGCGCCGCATCGCCGATGCATCAGCGATGCGGCTTGATGTGGAGCCCGATTTTCTCCACGTCGATGGCGCCGATGCCTCGTCGACGTCGCCGATGCGGCGCGATCGGATGACGGAAAGCGCGCGTAGCGTCGCGATCCGTATGTCGGAAGAAATAGCGGGGGGGGGAGGCAGCCGGAGCCCCAGACCTAATCGCCCTCTAATTTCGGCAATTTTCGGCCCAAGTGAACCCCGAGAGCGCTTCAGAGGCCCCCCAGACAGCCCAAGACGGCGTCGGAGAGGTCCAAGAGGGCCCGAAGACGGCCCAAGAGCGCTCCAAGAGGGCCCAACATGGCTTCAAGACAGCTGAAGAGGCCCCCAAGACGCCCCAAGAGGCCCACAAAGGAGACCCCCGAGAGGCAAAATTCGCCCCATCCCCTCAGGAAAACTTACATGTTTAGCATATTAGCTTCTTTGGTCTTCACGGTGTCGAAGGTGGCCCAAGAGGCTCCCAAGACCGCCCTAGGACGGCCTCAGAGGCCCCAAAGAGCGCTTCAAGACGACCCCAAAAGGGCTCCAAGACGGCCCGAGACGGGCCCCAGAGGGTCCCGCAACGTTCCCAAGAGAGCCTCAAGAGGGCCACAGGAGGCCACAGGAGGTCCCCAAGAGCGCCCCCAGAGAGCCCCAAGACGGCCCAAGCCCGCCGAGACGGCCCAAGAGGGCCCCAGGACAGCCCAAAGGGGCCCCAGGACAGCCCAAAGGGGCCCCAAGACGGCCCAAAGAGCCCCAAAAGGACCCCCAGGAAGGCTACTACTCATTGATTTTCGCAAGGGTGTTTGCAAGATTGTTGTATGTCGTACCGAAGCCTTCACACCAGCAGGGCTCCAAAACACTAGCCAGCGACCTCGCGCCCTCACAGACAGAACCCGCGCTTTCCGTCCCTATGCCAAGCAGGTGGCGCACTGTTGCGCGCAACAGTTCGCAGGTGTTGCGGGAGGGGCGCGAAATCTTGCACGGGTGAGTGAAGAATTAATGAGCTACGCCGCGGCGCCCTTCGCGCAACTAGCGCATCCAGCACGAGGGACCACATCCAGGCACCAGCTATTGACTATTGCAAAGATCGTGGCACCTCTCCTTGATGGGCTTGTTTTCCACCACCACCAACACCACCATAAGTTGGAGGGGGGAAGGAGGTGGAGGACGAGGAGGAGGAGGAGGACGACGAAGATCAGGAGGAGGAGGACGAGGAGGAGGAGGAGGACGAAGAGGAGGAGGAGGAGGAGGACCCCATCCCCCCCCAATGTATGGTGGTGGTGATCGGACAAAATGCCCATCATCTTCCAGCGGACTCGCCTGCGTCAGACCCACCTGCTCCGGCCTCGGGCACGCGCGGCAATCCGCGCGCCCTTCCGGGGCGCGGCCCTCCCCCGAACCCCGGGGCGGTGCGGCCGGCTGCGCGCCGGGCGCTCGCGCCCGCCTTCGGGCCCCGGGGGCCCTCGCAGGTCGACCTGGCTCGAGGGATGCCGCGGAAAGCGGTGAGGCCTACGGGGCTCGGGTCGTGATCCGTCGTTTCGCGATGTTCCCAGACCCCCTCGGGCAGGGAACAGAATCATGACGGGACTGTTCGCTAGTTTCGGCATGTGGGGGCCCTTGACGGCCCTCGGGGCCGTCAAGAAACGACTCGGGATGACAAACCGGTCCAGGGGAATGGGTCGAGACCTCCAGGGGTCGACGCAATGAAAAAAATCATGACGTCGGGGGCTTGGGTTCCCTGACATCCGCCGATGTGATCTGTTCAATCCGCGGCCCCGGAGATCCCGACCCCTTCTTCGGGGCCAGCTGTTCGTCCCAGGGCCCTGTTTGCTGGCGCCAGGGCCCGACAAACAGGCCCCAGAGATAGACCTCGAGGAAAAGCGCTCTGATTGAAAAATCGGGTCGTCGGAAATCTGGGCGCGCCCACAGGCGTGGCCTCTGCGAGCTCTGCGCGTGGGCCCAGCACGGTGGTGATCTCTTGGGCCGTCTTGGGGTCCTCTTGGCAGTGCGGTGGCTGCCTGGGGGCCATCGTGGGGCCGTCTTGGCGCCGTCTTGGGCAATCGGAGGGCCTGCCGAGGCCATGGTGGGTCCCACGGGAGGCCCTCTTGGGGCCGTCTCGGATGCCTCTTGGACCCTCGCGGGATCCTCTTGGGCCATCTCTGGGCCTCGTGGGAGCCTCTCGGCCCGTCTCGGGGCCATCGTGGAGGCCTCCTGGGCCGTCTTGAGCCGACGGAGGCCCGAAGAGGCGTCCCGGCGGTGCTGGCCCGCTTCGCTCCGCCGCTGCGCGGGCCCGTTCTGCAGGGGCCCTCGTGCGCTTGCCGGCCCGCCCGGATCACAGTTTGCGGCGCGGGCCCCGTCGGTTGAAAAGGGGGCAGGAGCGGGAGGAGGGGTAGGGCGAGGAGGGCGGCAGGGAGGAGGGCGCCAGGGAGGGGGAGGAGGAGAAGGAAGAGAATGAGGAGGAGGAGAAGGAGGAGGAGGAGGAGGAGGAGGAGGAGAAACAAGAAGAAGAAGAAGAAAAAGAGGAGGAGGAGGAGGAGGAGGAGGAGGAGAAGGAGAAGGAGGAGGAGAAGGAGAAGGAGGAGGAGGGCGAGAGGGAGAAGGAAGGGAGGAGGATGGCGAGAGGGAGCAGCAGCAGGAGAAGGGGGAGGCGGAGGATGAGGGCGATATGGAGTTGTGGGTGGAGGAGGAGGAGGAGGAGGAGGAGGAGGAAGGAGGAGGAGGAGGAGGAGGAGAAGGAGGACGGAACATCAGGGAAGCAGAGGAGGAGGAGGAGGAGGAGGAGGAGAAGAAGGAGGAGGAAAACGACGAGGGCGAGAGGGAAGAGGGAGTGCAGAGGAGGTCGAGGAGCAGGAGGAGGAGGATGAGGAGGAGGAGGACGCTAGCACCATCCCTCTTCTCCCTTATCATGTTTCCCCTCCTCCTGCTCATCTTCACCCTGCGCGCCTGCAGCGGCCTGGGTCGAGCAGCGCGCTCCCGACCTGCCTGCTCGACGCCCGAGTCGTCATCATCACCACCATCGCCACAATTATCGTCGTCGTCGTCGTCATCATCATCATCAGCAGCAGCAGCATCAGCATCAGCATCATCATCATCAGCAGCAGCAGCATCATCACCAGGAGCAGCAGCAACAGCATCAGTAGCAGCATCATCATCATCATCATCATCATCATCACCATCACCATCACCATCACCCATTGTTCTTCCCACCCGCCCCACCCGCCCCACCCGCAGAAGATTGGGATTAGCACCTGATTTTAACCCACGTCCAAGGAAATCCCACCCTCAGGAACTTACTGAAACCCATAGGAACCCCCACAATCATTTTAACAAGGCACAGCATGTATTGCCCGTCCTCCTCCTCCTCCTCCGCCTCCTCCTCCTCCTCGATCTCCTAGAAATTATATTACATCATGGGCACAATAGGCTACTTATGTTATGGCTTAGATGAGCGAAGTTTCTATGGCTACAGATTTGGTAGAATCCTCTTTTTGTGTTGGTCAGCTCTGCG